TGACAGTGCCCCCCAATAGGTTCAACTGGAGGCCTAGAGCCCACGGCAATGTCTCATGCAAGTCTGTTTCAGAATCTGCACTGGGAAGACACACAGGTTATCTGTGGGAGCTAGAAAATCTTGTGTGGGGAGGCTGAAGGATCTGCGCTGGAGCCAGGAAGCAAAGCTCAAAGTAAGAACCAGAGCTCCCCCAAAAAGTACCACAGCCATACTCAAGGACAACAAGGTCCCCAAGCTCCTCTGGTGATGACAACAGCTGAGTTCATATTAGGAAAACCTGCTTTACAAACTTCTCCAGGAAGTCGAACAGTGTATCATCTTGCCCTCTGGAGCTAGGAAGCAATGCTCAAACTAAGGACCAGAGCGCCTGCAAAGTGAACTTCAGCTGTTCTCAATGACAATAACATCCCATCTCCTCTGATGATGAGAACAGCTGGGTTCGTATCAGGAAAGCCAGCAAGACAAGCTCCTCAGGACAACCAATAGCACTTTTTCCTCTCCAGCTTTTCTTCCTATGTTATTGGCAGCAATCCTCAGGTGGGCCCTCCACACCCAGCATAGTGCTGATTCTGATTCTTTTCCTTTGGGTGTTACAAGTTGACCACTAATCGTCAATCCACCACCTAAGCCTTTTCATTCAAAAAATATTCACAAGATGATTACACCCCTGTGTGCTATTTTAGACTTCATTTCTGTTCATGTATTTAAACGAGAAAATAAAAATACTTACTAGGGAGTGAAAAACAACATTGAGAGTGCCTTCCCACCCTGCTGGCAGCTTATCTCCCCTTCTGGGGAGCCTGAACTGGAAAGGCCTGATCCTTAGCCTCGAGGCCTGAGATAATGACTTAATTAACGCTTGCACCAGGCACTGTTTGATCTTCAAGGAGCTGGCCCACATGGTTGAGCTGCTTCTGGATTAATTGTGCAGAACTAAGAAAGCCTTGCCCAGAGATAAAGGGATGGTATTTCGTCACTACAAATTGTCCTCAAATCTGCTCTGGCACTGGGGCCTGAGCCTAGATTCAGACATCCACCTGGCCTCACCCTAACAGCAGCCCAGTGTCACACTGGCAAGAGCCCAGGGTCTCTAGGTGTGTGCCAGGGCTGCTTCTGAGACCGAGAAACGTGCTGCCATGGACACCTCCGTGCAGCACTTTGACAGCTGTTAGTTTCCCGTTTTCCACATGAGGGAACTAAGTTTAGGGCAGGCTAGGGACAAATCGTAGCAGTGAGACTAAGGTCAAGAGAGAACTTGAATTGGGATGGATTCTAGTTGGTCAGCCCCACTGCTAGGGGACAACATCTGCCTTTAGAGTCCTGGCCGTAAGCTGTAGGTACAATGCAGTTACTTCTTCACACTAGGAATTCTAATTTTGGTCTTCACGGAAGATTCAAGGGTGGGTGTCTTATAAGCCTGCAAATGGCTCTATCTCCTCCAGAAGGGTCTCAGTATAATGGTTTAGGGCTGGTAAATAAAGTGTGAAATGAAACTGCAGGGAAAGAGCTTGGCATCAGCTTGGCACGAGGTTACTACTTCTAAAATAACAATGACCCCAATAATTGAGCACCTACTAGTGCCAAGTCATGGAAAGGGCATTGGCCATGCAGAGTGGCAATGGGTTGGGGTTGGTTTTAAGGTGAAGTGGGGCTACACACAAAGCACTAGGTTCTGGAGGAAAGGCTGATCTGGGGTCTTGGGTGATGTCTGGAGGGAACCTTCAAGATGCAGACCCCGGTGAGGCACACCTGGGCCCCTTTCTGCCCCCTTGGAGCACCTGACACCTTAATTATGGACCCGCAGGCAGGTCAGGGCTTGCACGGGAGCCGAGGTCGGCCGGAAATGCAGGCTCCGGGGGCGACCGGACTCTGCCGCCAGGTGCACCTTCTCTCCTACCAGTACCCGCCGCCCGGAGCTCCTCGCTCCGCCCGCTCTTTCCGCCTGGGGCCCTCTGGCTGACCTCTGGCGCCCACAGTCTCCCGGACGCATGCCCGTTAGTAGGGTCGAACTTTTTCCGCTGGCCGCGCACGGGCGCGATTTCTCCAACATCAAGCAGGCAGTCAGCCTCTAGGTCTGCGCGGGTACAGCCAGGGCCTGGGCGGGGATGCCCCGCGGAGCCTGGAGTGCCGCGCCCACGCGCTTGGGCAGCGGTGCCCACGCCTCCTCCAACTCAAAGTATATTTAGCCTCATTATCAAATGTTTGCAGTGAACCGTGTGAACCGCCTAATAGCGGCTGGAAGTGAAACTCGACTCCCAGTCAGAAGGAAGCATGTGATCTCTTCCACCCGCTGGGACCACAACGACTAGGGCAGGCAGGTGCTGCGGCCCCCGCACACGCGATTTAGCCAGGAGCCCGGCTGGCTCTGCTCGCACCTCTCCACTCGTCTACAAGCCCGAACACTCCTCACAGTGTCCCACTAACCGGCAGAAATGAGCCTGGAGTTTGACTGGAGGGGAGTGGGAGGGGAGAGACCCACGCGATGTGGCCCTCATTCAGGCTTGTGGCCTCTTGGAGAAGGCGGTCCTACCAATTTCGTATTTTCCATTTCCAGAAAATGGTATCCAGGGGTTCACTTTTTCCTGGCCATGGGGGATGGGCGCTTTGGGGGGGGGGTCGGAGTCTCTATCTCAAGGAACCCCCACCATCCGGAAGCTCGAAGGCGCGTGTGCCTGAGGGTTCCCCCCACCTCCGTCTGTCGCACGGCTGCCCAAATTCTCACCACCCTCCAGTGGTTGCTGTTGTCGCCATGGCGACGAGTCGCGGTTTTATTTTTAATAGCTGTCGGCGATTCAAAAGATGCCTGAGACGTGTGCCCCGCGGCTCTCGCGTCCCCGGGTGATGCGCCGAGGCTCCCGCCCAGGGCGCCCCTTTCCGCGTCCCCAGACCTTCCCTGCCCGCCTTGAACTCCAGCAGCTTGGCGCCACTATAGCGCCGGGCGGGTAAGGTGAGCAGAGCGAAGCAGAGTTCAGGCAGGGTCCCAGGAACCCGCAGCTCCATGCGGGGGTTGGGGCCGGGAAGACGCGGTATCCTGTCCACAATGCAACGCGACCTTCCTCCCAGATTCCCACGCCCGCTGTCACTCGGGGTCCTTGAACCCCAAGGAGTTGTCCTCGCGTCCCCTCTGCCCACGAGGAGTCCAAGGCCGAGCGGGTCACAACGCGCACAACTCCCGGGATAAGAAGGTGAGGGCTCAACGGGAGGTCGCCTTCCAGAAAGCCCCCCCAGAGCAGCAGCAGGCTCCACCCGGACAGCCCGTCTTTCAGGTGCTACACCTTTCCAAGTTTCCCCTGCTCTGTCTGCTCCTTCCTGGCCATCCGAGGGGTCGCGGAGGGGGGTACTTTGGGAAGGCGGGGAGGCCAGAGGAACTGAGTGTAGACGCGGGACCTCCGGGAAGGACCCGCCCCCAGGTATTTGACCGCCAGCGATTGCCCCGGGAGCACCCTCAGGACTCCTTTGAAATACCGGAGTCCCATTGAGCTAGGGATGAAAGGTCCTCGAAGGGCTGCACGTTTGTCCCGAGGGGGGCAGCAGTGGCGCGAAGGGAGAGGGCGTTAATCCGCGGAACTGAGGTGATGCCTGGGTGGGCGGAATCCTCGGCTCGCCACCCATGAGGTGTCTCCTAGTCTCCAGCTTTGGAGTCGGCAGCACTCCCCTTGAAGGAGAGCACCTGGGCTAGCAGTTGGGTTGCAAGCCCACTTGTCTAGGCGGGTGTAATCCATCGCAACCTGCGCGCCCTTTTCTGAGGCGGGAGAGCCAAAGGTCCAGTCCCGCTCGGACCTGGGTTTGTGCCTTGCTCCCCCCAACGCGCTCGGTGCTGCGCCTTGGCCGGAGGTGGCGCTCTGTGCGCCCGGATTCCGACGCAGAACCCAGGGAGGGTTTCCTCAGTAGCTTCTCTTTTCTCTTCGTTCCGTCTAGCCCCAGTTTCCCGGCTCAGGATGCGGCCTGGCTTTTCGCGAGGGAGTGGGTACTTGGCGCGGTGTCTCAGGGTGGGGATGAAGCAGGCTGCAGCCCCCCTCTCGGATCTGGGTTCCTTCCCACCTCGAAATGTGGGTGTATGCTCCTCAAGCAGGTGCCCCAGGCTTCGGATCTTGGGCGGGGGCGCGTGGCAGCCGCCAGGTGAGTGCCCCAGACGCGCCCCTAAACCGGCCCCACCTCTCCTCAGAGACTCACCCCCCTCCTTTTATGGAGAGGGTAAGGCAGAGGCCCTGGGACCCAGCGGTGGAACGCGCCCAAGCGCAGCGCCGGGCGGGAGCCAGACGGGCTCTCATGCCCTTTTTGGCGCTGCGGCCTTGGGCGCTGCCCTCTGCTGCCACCGAGGCCCGAAAGAGACGAACCGCCGGCGGCAGCGTTTCTGCGGCGGCCTCCTCCCCTCCCCGCCCCGTGCCGCAGAATTGCAGCTGGCACTGGAGGGTGGGCAAGCTCGAGGGAGGGGCGCGCGGGGAGCCCCGGCGCCGAGGCTCGGAGCGGGGCGCGGGGCTCTGATGGATCTCGCTGCCCGCGTGAGCGCGTGTGTAGTCACTGCAGCGGCAGCCGCACCCGGACCCGACCCATCCCGCACGACCCCCTCAGGCTTCCGAGGTGCAGGTCCCGGGCCGGAACCCGAAGGAGGCGGGGGCGGGGGCGGGGCGCGGCGGCGGCGCTATAACCCCCTCCCTGCGGCCCGCGGGCTCCACACGCGCGTCCTGCAGAGCCGTTCAACTCTATCGAGTCGGGCCTGCCAGAGCTGCCACCTCCTCCTTCTCCTCCTCTCCCCGCTGCGGCGGCGCGGGCTCCGGCTCGGCCCTACGCCCGCCCTCAGGCCCGCGCGGGCGGTGCAGAGAGGCCCCAGGCTCTGCCCGGCCCCTGCCCGGCCCTGGCTGGTGGAGGGCGGAGCACCGCGCGTAGCCGAGGGCGCGCCGCAGAGGGGCGCACGCAGGCCGCCGGCCGCGCCGAGCTGGGCCGTGCTGTGCCCGGCCGGGCGGCAGCGGCGGCGGCTAGAGAAGGCCGGAGGTGCACGCAGGCCCGAGGTGGGCGCGCGGGGCAGCCCGCGGCCCGCAGGGAGCGCGCAAGCCGGCGCCAGGGCCCAGCCTGGTGTCCAGACAGGTGATCGGCGGAGCGGCCGCGGCTCTGGCCTCGCTCCGGGGTCCCTCCCGGAGCTGATGCCCGCAAATATGCGGAATTGCCGGCCAGGTCGCTCCTAAAGCCAGCGCCGGGGATCCAGCGCGGCGGCGGCCAGGACGGGAACGCACCAAGGAAGAAGCCCAGCCCCCGCCCTCCGCCCCTTCCGTCCCCACCCCCTACCCGGCGGCCCAGGAGGCTCCCGGCGCGGCGGGCGCGCACTCCCCAGCCTCCTCCTCCTCGCGGGCGCAGCACTCGCAGCTCGCGCCGGGCGCGCTCCGCCGGCTCCCTCTCCGCGCCGCCCTCCTCCGGGCCGCGCTCCCTGAGGGATGGTACTGAATTTCGCCGCCACAGGAGCCCGGCTGGAGCACCCGCCCCGCGGCCTCGCCTCCCCGCCGAGCCTCCAGCGCCTCGGGACGCGATGAGGACCTGGGCTTGCTTGCTGCTCCTCGCCTGCGGATACCTCACCCATGCCCTGGCCGAGGTGGGTGCCACCCCCGCGCCCCAGCCCCTTCTCGGTTCCCCGGGCGTGCGGCCGCCTGCGGGCCACGGCACCCCAGGTTCTGCAGGGACGTTTGATTTCTGATGGAGGTGGTCTGTTTTTAAATTTTCCCAACTGGGTTCTATTTTCTTCCGTGCCCAAGTGTGTCTGGTGAGTTTCCAGCGTGTTGCGTTGGTCTGCCTCGGAGGGACTGGGGAGCGGTGAGGCGGACGAGTGGGGAGAAAACTTCGCGGGGCGCGGGCGCCTCCCCGGGGAGGGGCAGCCGGGGCGCGGCGAGGAAGGGGGTGTGCGTGAGGCTGCAGCGCCTTGGGCTGGCAGCGGGGCTGCGGCGGAAGCCCAGGGTGGGCAGCACCGCGCCGTAGCCCGGATTCCTGGTCTCCGATCCCGGCTGGGCGCCGGGCCGGCGCAGTCCCGCCTGCCCCGGGCCTGCTTACAGGTGGCTGAGCGAGGCAGCTGGGGCCGGGCCTGCGCCCGCGCCCTCCCACCGCCGGCGTCCCCACCCCCCACACCAGGTCCCCGGGAGCTTAGCTGTGATGAATGACTTTCCACAGCCCCTGTCGTGGGAACTTAGTGCTTACCCCCCCCCAACCCCTACTCCCTCTAGAATCGTGGAGGGGAGGAAGAAGGCTGAGTGGTGGGGGTGGGCTGGGCAGGCACGGGAGAGCCGCGAGGTGGATATTTAACCCTAGCTTGCCCTGCAGCCTCCCGCAAGCCTCTGGCTAGATTTGGGTGTCCTAGTCGGCGCTAGGGCCGCGGCCGGGGTGGGGCGCGCGCGTGCCTGTGTGGTGAGGGGTGACCCTCTCCTCCGTGGTCTCTACCGGGATTCTGGGGTGTGAAATTTAAGACCCTGGCTAGATTAAAGTGTTGGGGCTGCCGCGACTTTCCTCATTGACCCGTGACGCATTTCGACTCGCTTTTTCTAGATGTTGGTCTCACTGTTAAACCAGAAACTCCTGGCTCCTTGTCGCCCCCAGAACCCCGTAACTGACACCCGCAGGGCAGGGCTGGCCTGTGGCAGGGTTGGGAGGAGAGGTTTTTGATTCGATGCTTCAAACTGGGGTGGATCTGCTTTTGCAGAGGGGGAACAGGGATGGGGGAAGGCAACTTGGGGGTCTCACCACCCTGGGCGCTGACCGTGTGATCTGCTTGCAGGAAGCCGAGATCCCCCGCGAGCTGATCGAGCGGCTGGCTCGCAGTCAGATCCACAGCATCCGGGACCTCCAGCGACTCCTTGAGATAGACTCCGTAGGTAAATCGCGCCCCTGCCCTTGGTGCGGGGAGGGCGCGGGCGGGGAGGGAGTGTAGCCGAGCTGTTCCCCGCGCACTGCCGGGCCGGGCGCCGCGCAGGAGCGCACCGAAAGGTCAGAATCCACTCCTCGGCCATAAACGCCCAGGCGCATGAGTCAGGCGTTTCTCTTCCAGTCGCCACTTTCTCTCCAGTGGCGGTTGAAGGCTGCTCGCTCTCCCCGGGAATGTTTTGCGTTTGAGGGAAACGCAGTGTGTGTCACAGAAAGTTCAGCAGCATAGAGGGCGCCTGGGCCATGGCCGGGTGTGTGTCTGAGGAGCGAGAGTGGCGCACAGCCCTGGCCCTTGCACAGGTCGGTCCTCCTGGCGAGGCCCGGAGGCTGCGCGTGGAGCTGGCCAGACCGGCCCCTTTGTTGGGGGAGTAGGCTGGTGAAGTTCTCCCTTCGGGGCTGGGCCTCTGTAGCTGCGGGAGGCCTTTTTTCACGACCCAATAAAAAGGCGTGCCTTGGACACATTTGCTGGGGGCTATTTTTGGGGCTCACCCTCGGGGCCTGGATCTGAGCCACTTTAGAAAACAGTTTATTTGTAAATGCTGAGCTTTGAAGCAGTGTTGGACTAGAACTAGGTAGCAAAGTTAAAGGAGTTTCTAATGTTGGGGGGCTGTGTTCCCTGAGGGCTAGAGCAAGAGATCACATCTTTGCTTGCAGCGTCCTTTTGCAAATTAACACTTGGTCTGGGGGAACTCCATCCTCGCTGACCTGGGCAGTAATGCCTGTGGGGAAATTTCTTACTGGCTTGAGAAAGGGACTGGAGATGGACCTGTCAGAGTAAGAAAAGACAGCTGAAGTAAAGAATTTTAAGTGAAATGAAGATTTCTCTCCTTGCAAACTACTTGGGAAAGGGGGGTGGTGGGGGAATTAAGTAAAATCACATGGTCTAGTCATTTGGAAATTTGTACCTAATTATGGTGGTGGAGAGGCCTGTGCTGTTTTCATTCCATGCCAAAACCGTTTTCTAACAAGGTTGTGGGTTCTGCAGTTCCTTGACCCAGGAAATCCTTTGCCTGATCTTTATCTGGAGTAGGGTAGGGTTTCACTTGTAGATCAGAGCTGGACCAGGGGGAATTTTGATCTTGTCCCTTGAAATGCAAGCCTGGGGCAAAGGATTTGGCTTGGGTAGCTGGAGAAAACACTTTTTTGCTGGTCCCTGATGGATTTGGAGATTTGGGACTTGGCTGTTGAGGCACTGGAGAGCTGGACCTCCCTCCAGTGGGCGTTGGTACCACAGGGAAGTGGGCCATTCACTTTCTGCCAGGACCATTCTTATTCTGGTCTCTGCAGCTCCGCCTCCCCACCCCCTACCGTTAACATTTTAGCTTTTCTGTTCTGTGGGGTTGCTGATTGCATTCCTGACCTGGGGGCTTCTGGGCTGGGGCCTAGCTAGGGTACAGGTACTCTGTTCTCCCAGCAAGTGTCAGGTTGCCTCTGCTAGAGTGTGTGTTCCTGTGTAGATAGGTTGGGCACTGTCCCTGCAGTCTGCCTCCTCCCTTGCCCAGGGTGGAGAGTTTAGTGTGGCAGGTGTTTTGGGGTCCAAATGGGATTCACCCAGGGCCCTGGAAACACAGCAGCTCTCCTCCCTCACCTCATGCCTCAATTTGGAGATGGACATCTTTTGGAACAGAAACTCCAAGGTGATTCTGCTTCCTCCTGCTGTAGTACCCTAAGATGTGGTAACTAAAAGTAGGAGGGTCCTATCTGGCCTGAGGACAGGGGTGACCCCTGCACTTTTATTCTTACCTGAAATGAAGAACCCACTGCTGCAGAGTGTTGGAATAGGATGAAAGTAGCTGTGGTGGCCCAGACTCAGACAAAGCTATCATCCCCACCCTACCCTCCTTTCTAGATTTGTCAGAGGCATCCTTGGCCTGTTGAGAGCACTCTGCTCTGACAGGAGCCCAGGACAGTGTAGGGGAAGAACTGATGGAAGAGGGTCATGGTACTAGGATAATCCAATGTGAGTAGCCCCAGTTGCAGGTCTCCCAGGAGGATGCTGGGGATGGAGGTTACTGGGGGCGCAAAGGAGGCTTTGGGGTGTCCCAGGCCCTCCCTGACTCCTCCCTTGAGTGGGTGGGGCTTTGTACCTGGCACACCCATCCCCATTATGCAGATGGAACCCTCTTAACTCTGCCCCTCCTGGCTGTGTGGTGAGCTCCAAAGGCGTGCATTCCTGTAAGTGCTGGGAATGTGGTGAGCCTGGAGCAACCCGGAATATGCACTGGAGAGAAGATGCCAGGTGGCTTTCCCAGGCTGTTTGGCCCCAGAGGCCAATGTGAGTCTTGGGGTGACCAGCAGCCAGCTGTAGAGTTGGGGCCTATTTCTCCTGTTTGGTGTGGTGGCTGGAGCTTTGTTCTCCAAAGCTGGCTGGCTAGGCGCCCTAGGTCATTGAGTAACTGATACATAAACATCCCAGCCACTCGACAACGCAGCCTACCAGAACAGAGCTGGAGGAGTTTCCCTTGTCTTGCAGGATGTCTTGCATAAAGACAAAAGGGAAACAGCCTGATTAGTTGTCTTGACAGAGTTTGGAGACTGCTTCTTGCTGCCCCACCAGGGATCAGTCTTGATTTTTTTTTTTTTTTTTTTTTTTTTTTATGGAACCGAGGATTGAACTCAGGCCCTTGTGCTTGCCAGGTAAGCACTCATTCTGCTGAGCCATCTGCCCGGCCCAGTCTTGATCTTCTAAGTTCCTGCCTAGGTGGGTTCTTCTCACCCACCATAAATCAGAACAGCTCTTTGGAGTGTGAGTTGGCTTTTGGTCTATGACCACCCATCTTGATGGTCACAAGAGTGGGCTCGCTTGAGTAGGAACTGTGCCCACTCAGTTCCTACTCAGTCTCGTCTGAAGAGGTTAGGAGTTGGCCATCAGCAGCAACCTTGATGAGCAATCAGGGCTGCGTCCCCTCTGGGCATTGAGCTGAGCCAAGAGGCCTAAAGTGGGGCCCCAGCACATGGACACTGGGCTGGCTGGTCCCTTCCCTAGCCACCTGCTCTTGCCTTGTTTTTCTGGGCCTTGTTTCTGCAGATGTGGATAGCAGGTAATGCCTGACTCCTGGAAGCAGTTTGCCTAAACATGGCTGCAGGAAGGACCATAGCTGATGCCGTGCTAAACTTTACCTTGGACTGGACCCCTGGCTCTTTGGTTCAGTGATGGCAAGATGTCCACCACCAGGGTGTGACTTATAATGTCACTTTGTGTGTGTGTGTGTGTGTGTGTGTGTGTAATACTTGTAATGGTAGATGGGAAATTCTTATTGCATGTGTAGTTCTTTTCTGATCTTATTTTGGGTCTCAAAAAAATCAGTGGTATTGGAACATTGAGTCATTTAAGTGAAAAGTTGAGTTCTGCTCAGACTTAGTCTTTGCTATTCATACTTTTCTTGAGTTTTGGTTTTCATTTCAAATGTGCCGGCTTAAGGAATATCTGAAGTGGAGGAGGGCTAGGCTTCAGTTGATTCATGGACTCTGGACAGGGAGCTGGGCAGAAAGGGCCTTGTGTTGTGTGTCCTGTACTGGGTTGGGGGTCTAGATCTGGCCTGGTGACATCATGTCCCTCTGCAAAGGGAAGGGAGGCCACAGGATAAGAACCCAGTGAATCTGAGTCCCGTCTGTTGGATACATGTTCCTAGGCTGTTTGCCCTCAGAAGCAGGACTGAAGAAGCAGAGGGTCTGGGCAGGGGGGCCAGGTGTTCGCTGTGTCAGACTGATGGGTTCACATAGCAGGTAGCATGCAATGTGTCCATTTCCACCCAGAAATCAGAGTGTTTAGGGAATTGGGGCTGTGTGCTATAATACCCTCCCTCTGTATTGGGCTGTGATGTCCTGGGGGTGGGTGCTGTGGGTCATTGTCACCCCACCCCCACCCAATGGAAGCCCTTGCCACAGGGCATGGCTACAGATATGGAAGGCTTCCTACCTTCCTGTGGCTATGCCACTTTACCTGTAGGTACCCTAGACCACCTGCTCAGGCTGGTGGCTACTCCTCCCTCTATACTGAGCAGCCACACCTCTTGGATTTTCTCATGGCCTCTGGCCCTTGAAGGAGGCTTATTTCAAGAACTGGTCTGGGCTGACTCATAGCCCAGTTGGGAGTTGCTTCCGACGCCCCTCAGAGGTTAAGATGCTCCACAGAGGCCTAGTTTATGGAGTGGGTAGGGCCTCTTGGTTTTGGTGTGGTAGTGTTAGGTCTTTTCTGATCTGGTTCTGTCCTTACTGAGCTAACTGCCTCAGTGGAAGCCACCCAGAGCCCCTTCCCCAGTAGGTCCCAGCTCTGCCACAGACCTGGCTGGAATTGCTCAATTCTGGGGACCTCTGTGTTCACAAGATATTTTTGGCCTGGTTTGGAGTGTTTTATCTCCTGCGCATCTGGAGAGCCCCTGTGGGCATGCAGGATAGATGTGGGGGTTGGGGACTATCTTTTGAGGGCCAGGTAGGCTGAACTTCCAGACTCTTGTCTCCTGGTGGCTCTGGCTCTGAACTGCAGAGCTACCCCAGGGTCAGGCCTGGGGTGTCACACAGGTGTGGACAGCTGGTTGAATGTTCTCTTTGTACCTGTAGGAACTGAGGATGCCTTGGAGACCAGCCTGAGATCCCGTGGGCCCCATGCCACCAAGCATGCTCCCGAGAAGCGACCTGTGCCCATTCGGAGGAAGAGGAGCATTGGTGGGTCAGGGAAGCTTTGGTGGGCAGAGTTGTAGGGGTCGGGTCAGGCTCCCCATAGTGGCCTCCAGCAAGCCACCCTACAGCTTTCCCCCAGACAAAGACTGGGCCTGCCCTTTTGGCTCTGGCCTCCTGCCCTCTCTGGAGGTGCCCTCTGCCTCCACAACGTGCCTCCCGCCTGGCTTGCTCCTCACTGAGTTGCAGTGTGGGCCAAGAGTTTCCAGGGGAGAAGAGCTGTCATAAATTCCTGAAGTGCCCAATCTTGTTGGGACCTGTTTGTAAGGAGGCCTTGCTGGAAAATGTGGCTGAGCCTAAGTTCTAGTCCTAATGTTTTGCCCCAGCGCGCTCTAGCTAGGAGGCTGGGCCAGGTGGGCCCCTCCTTGATGGAAAGCTGGTGGCCTCTTGTAAGCAGGCCCCTGGTTAGCTTGGGGATTCAGATTGTGTCTACTCTTTGTTTTCCCACCCTCTTTAACCCCAGGGGCCACTTGTGGATCTTTGGATCTCCAAGCTGTCCCTCTGCTGGGAATCTTGCCCAGCCCCCAGTTGCCTGTGTGTATGTGTGCATGTGGGTCAGTCCTAAACCTGGTCACCTGGATGGATGTGAAGGGTTTTCAGCACTTACTGTAAACTTGCTCTGCAGAGGAAGCCATTCCCGCGGTCTGTAAGACCAGGACAGTCATTTATGAGATACCTCGGAGCCAGGTGGACCCCACGTCTGCCAACTTCCTGATCTGGCCGCCATGTGTGGAGGTGAAGCGCTGCACCGGCTGCTGCAACACCAGCAGTGTCAAGTGCCAGCCCTCGAGGGTCCACCACCGGAGTGTCAAGGTGAGTTGCCACTCAGTTTGCCACAGTGGCCTCCACATTTGGTGTGGCAGAGGTGTCCTGGTCAGGTGAAGGGCTTCATGCACAGGGCTTAGATCCTTGAGTCTTGGTCTCTAAAGGACATAGTTGGAGGGCAGGTGCCTCTGGTGCTGCTAGACATCTTGACTATGAGGCTGAGCCTTCAGGCTCATTCTGGGCCTGGATGTTTCTGGGCTTTGTTCTCCAAAATCTGTTTCTGGTTGGTAGAGGTGCAGTTCCTGTCCCACAGGAGCCTTGGGCACAAGTGACTGACCAAGCAGTGCAGGGTGGGCCACACAGCCTCCATCTCAGGGGCCATGGGATGGAGCTTTTGATAGAACCTGCTTCTGAGATAGGGGACATCTTTCCTAGGTCAAGGAGTCCCCAGAATTAAGTTGAGAATTTCAGTCCCAGGGATGGCATTAGAACTCATCCACTCCTAGACTCTTAAACCATTTTAGATCCTCCTACCTTGCTGAGACCTGGGCTCTGGGGGAGATGCTAGGGAGCTCTTTCTTATAAGGACCTGTCATAAGCAGTAGAGATATGTGACTTCTTTTAGTTAGGACTTGGTCTTTGTGGAGCTCTTGGATTGAATGAGGACCTCCAAAGCCAGACATTCCCCTTGAACGAGGCCAAGGCACTCCTGGAGGCTCACATGCCACCTTCTATCTGCGGAGCGATGGGGGTGGCAGCAGTCCGGGGGGCAGGTGGTGATGACTCACCCTCCAGTGCCCAGGGACCTTGTCCCAGTGTCTTGTGACCCTGACCCAGCCTCTGCCTTTTTCTGTGTCCTGGGATTCTCACTATGGCTTGTTGGGGGTTAGGGATTAGTTGGGGTCTTGCCCTCTGGTGTACATTGTTGGGTAGACCTAGCTGGCTGGTTCCATGTGTAGGGGCTGGCCTGTCTTAAGGTACATGAGACAGGGACTCAGGGACAGTGCTTGTATGAAGGAGGTCACCTGGAAATTCTTAACCCATGGCTTATAGCCTCTAGGTGCCTACTGTTCCCATTCCTGCTCCCCGTGGGGTGGCAGTGGGGATTGTCTGTTTCTAGCTGGGTAGTGGAGCCTCCCTCCCCAGAAGTCCTCAGAGGATGCCGACTTTTGCCTCACAGGCCTTGTCTGCTCAGTGGGATTCTTGTCAGCCTCCCTGGACACCAAGTTCTGTGTCTAGAGCTAGGCCCCACTTAGGCTCCCTCCTCAGGAAAACCTGTCCCCTGCCGACCCATTCAAAGGCTCAAGGACACATTTGACAGCACACGTTGAGGGCACTGGCAGAAGGGCTTTAGGCAGATGGTGGCCTGGTGCCCAGGGTCACCTGGAGTTGAGGGTTAGGTGGGTGCTGTGGGTTAACAGAGGAGAAGCTAGGCAGGAAGAGAGCCAGGTGGCCTGTCCCCCAGCTAGGAGTGGGTGCTTGGAGCTGCCAGTGGCTCCAGGTAGATGGGCTGGGGTTCTAGCCACTACTCTAGGTCAACACTGGGGTCACAGTGTAGGGCTAGGATCAACACCCCTTTCATTCATTTCTGGGAATGTCTGAGGGGAAGCTTCATCCTGAGCCCAGCACCTGTGTCCATCCAGTTTGTTGAGGCCTCTCCTGACCTCCAGTCCTGACAGAGGTGAGAGGGCTCTGCGGTTGGCTACTGTGGGAGCTACTGGTCACACCTGACATCTGGCCCCTGGGAGCTGCTGCTGGGGTGTCTAGCTTGGATGAAGCCGAGCTCCTCCCACTGCTTGGGCCCCATTTGACTTTGCACTGGGTGGACCTCTGTGGGGTCGGGTCTGGGACCATCTCTGAGCCATGTCTGACCTGGCTCTGCATGAGTCATTGCTGTGCAGGGAGCCTTAGGCTAGTGTCCTTTTGAGGGAGCTTTGAGAGTCAGGACCGAAGGCGCCTCAGTGGATGTGTGGATCCACCCCAGTCTCCCCAGAGCCCGCTCTGTAGCACTTAGGCTAGGGACTATGGCTGTGCAGCTGGACCTCAGGTTTCCAAAGGTTTGTGGTTGGTGGGTACTCAGGCTGGGGCTCCCTCCCTACCTCCCAGGATAGAGTTGGGGACATGTTCTTGGGGAGAGTTCCTAGCTGGGACCCCAAGGCTTGGGGGAATGAGGTCTCACATCCCTCTCTGTTGTGAGGGGCAGTGTCAGCATCATGTGAAGGGTGCTCGGGGTCCTTGGGGACCTTGGAGCCACTGGCATGAATGGGGCACTGAGGCTGTGGGCCAGGTGGGCTCCTGGCCTCTCTCCTTCTGTACTGGTTTAAAGTCTGGCTCCAGTCACCCTACTGGGGAGCAGGGCTCCAGCATTGTCCAGCTGGGGAGGAACCTCAACCTGGGAAGATAGACCCTAGAGTAGAATAGCAGGCTCAGGATCTCTGGGGTGGGTGTCACAGGACTTTGGGGTCAGGACTTTGTTTCTTCTTCTAAGTCCAACCCCTTGGAGGCCAGGGCAATGGTGAGTGGACACAGAGGGCTTCTGGGGCCTCCCAGCATCTGGGAATGTAAGTGGGGGGACCCTAGGTCTTATAGTCTGTGTTTTCAGACTTGACTTTCATGTAAGAGATTTTTGAGAATTTAACATTCATAACATGTTCTTGGGAGAAAAATGTAGCCATTTCCTGGCCAGACAGAGGTGGCCAAGTGGCTGGAATCCTCGCATTCCCAGCAGCAGGTGCAATCATAAATTGCTGTTTGTTTTTCTCTGATAAACATGGTCTGTCTGGAAAGAAAGTGGGTGCCCAGACCAGGTAGCCGCAGGGACTGTCACAAGGGCAGCATAGCTGGAGTGCTGAGGGGCCGCCCTGCCTGCCACACCTACTAGTGCTTGGTGGAGAGAAATAAGCCTGCTCCCTGCTTGGGGGTCAGGTCCAGATCTCATCCGATCTGGGGCCTGGAATAGGCTCTGCAGGGGAACTGGGAGAGGCTACCGTTGACCACAGAGGCTGTGCCACCCAGACAGGCATATGACCCGAGCCTGGCCACGGGGGTTCACAACCACCTCTGCTCCGCTGGCCCTGTGCAGGAGTGTGGGGCCAGCATGGCCCTCTTGGGTTTATGGCTGGGGTCCCCTGTTGGGGAGGAGGTGCTGGGCCTGTGTCTGTGCCCAGCCAGTTCTGGGAGTACAGAGTGGGCTGGGGCATAGCAGGCCCAGGGCAGCCCCACTCTTTTCTTAGGACTTGCTGAGTTTCAGGGGGCGAGGGGCTTCCTCCACCCTAGGACATTGAAGAGAGGAGCACTGGACCCCTGTTCCCTACCTGAGAGGACATAGCCCTCATGCCAACCTTAGGGACAGGGGGTGGACTGGGCAGAATCCCTGGTCTGGAGCTGATGTTGGCCTGATGGTGTGTGTCAGTTGTGACACCTACTGAGTGGTTCTGTAGGGACTTCTCCCTCCTGGCCCCTGACCTGGGAAAGGAGTGGGCTGTGGGTGGGGCGTCCAAACCCTCCCAGTGATAATGAAACAGCCTCTTGCCTGCAGCGACCCCAGGGGAAGCTTCAACTACTCCTTCAACCCACCAGGCCACTGTCTCTCCCACCACCTGACGCAGGGCAACCTCTGCTGACCTCTGACCCCGGCCCTACACCCTGCCCTCTGAGCTCATACTTGGCGGCTGTGTTCACACCTGAGGCAGCCATAGCACTCACACACCCACTGGGCACCCGGCACCCTTTGCACCATGAGTTAACTATTAACGCCAAAGTGGCATGTAGCAGGGTCTAGCCAGGCCTGGTCCCAGCATCCCAGGGAGGCTTTTCTGTGGGGTAACCACCCTGCGGGTGCAAGGCTGACCTCCCTAAAGTCCAGACCCTGGAAGACTGGTTGGAAAGGAAAATATTACCATCCTCAGCCCTCCCAACTCACAGAGTTTGTCACAGGCTATATAAGGTGGACTCCGGAGCACCCTCACCCACAGGCTAGTGCTCAGTGGGGACTCTACCTCCCGGTGCTTGGGGGTACATGGTGGTTTCCATACCCTTTCTAGCCTCAGTGTCCCTGGTGTACAGGGAAGGGTAAAGGGGGTAATCCTAAGGGTAATCCTGCATATGCTCTTGGGCATATGCACTCCAGGAACCTGAGGCTGACAGCTTTGTGGAAGCAGCCACTTAAAGATTGAGCTAGGGCCAGGCCCCCTCTTGGGCATATGCAGACGATGTCTATTGTGTGCACAGCTCCATGGGGCTGCTCTGGGACCAGGAACAAGGCTTGTCCTGTATGTATACATATGGGTGTGTGTGTTCATACTTAGGGGCTGGGAGGGAAGCCTGGACACATGCAGATGGGTGACTGCTGTGTACATGGTTCTGTTGGGCTGGGGGAGGGCTCTGCTCCCCAGTGTCCACTCATGGTGGAGATGGGACAGACTGGTGACTAGGGACAGGCCTCCATGCATGCTCTTAGGGCAGCCTGGGGAGAAGCTTGCTATGCTCTGGTGTCTCTTCTGCCGCTGGGGCTGATGGTCCCAGGTAGGAGGACAGAGTGCACACTGGCCTTTGGACTCTGAGGAGGGTGGTGGTCAGACTGCACCTCATCCACTCATGGGGAGGAGGTGAGGGGCCTGACACATGGTGGCCTCCAGGGCAGGTTCTCTGTGAACCTGGATTGAGTGCCTAATGTATGCATCTGTGGGCTTGGGCTGGGGTTCATGCCCCTGTGACAGTGTGGGCCCAGGGCCCAGTGGGGGCTAGAAGGCCTGTCTCAGAGGCCTGGAGACAGTCTCTAGCCTGAGCTTTTGTTTGAGTACTTGGATCTTAACTGGGCTAGGGGTTCTGTCCTGTACTTACAGGGTGAGGGGGGCACAGGTAGCTTTAGTTTGTCACAGCGGCCGGTGCCTAGGGTGGGTCCCTTGTCAGAAGAGGAGACTTTCAGCCGAGGGCTGGGTTTCCCTGAGCTATCGGCATCAGAAGCTGGGCCCCTGCTGCCTGCTCTCCGGAGTCCACCTTATATAGCCTTGTGATGGCCAGGTGTTCCCTTGCCCACACTGCTGAGAGGGCCAGGCAACTCTGAGCCCACGGAGCCCCAGGCCTGGCTGGCTTACCAGGTGGCTGTGTGTCTGCGCCGTTTCTCCTGGACTTTAGTTGGTGGGGTGGGCTGGAGAGGGTATCCTAAGTGTTGACCGGCACCAGTCATACACAGCAGTAGTGAACTCCGGCCTTGCCACAGCCTCTGTGCCTTCTTCACTGATAAAATACACAACCAAGGATGCTGCCTAGTGCATACAGGTCTGGAAGCTTCTGCTGCCTCCTGCCGCCCGCCTGTGCAGTGCCCCGTGCAGTGCAAGCCCTCACACCACTGCACTCGAGCCTTTGGGTTTGTCCTAAACAAAAATGAGGCCAAGCTGGTTTTTCACTTGGGCACTGGCTTTCGTGGAGGTCACGGGTCAAGAGTGGGCTGGTGTTTTTTTGTATGTATGTATGTATGTATGTATGTATGTGTGTATGTATGTATGTATGTATCTTGTTTATCTGGTACAGGTTCTCCCTACGCAGCTCAGACTTGTAGTGATCCTCCTCCTGTCTCAGCTTCCCCAGTGCTGGGATTATGGGCCTGCACAGCATGCAGTACTGGGGATAGAACCTGGGTCCTTGTGCTTGCCAGGCCAGCACTTAGACCACCAAGCTGTCTCCCCAGCCCAAGGGTAGGCTGTTCTAACCCCACACCCATCCTGGTGTGGGCCTTGTAGTCCCAGCCTAAGTGTGATGCCTGAGTCCCCCACCTAGTGCTCAGTATAGTGGCTTTGCTTTTTGCAGGTGGCCAAAGTGGAGTATGTCAGGAAGAAGCCAAAGTTGAAAGAGGTCCAGGTGAGGTTAGAGGAACACCTGGAGTGTGCGTGCGCGACCTCCAGCCTGAATCCAGACCATCGGGAAGAGGAGACGGGTGAGTGGCTGCTCGTGTGTCCTCCTCACTACTGCTGGGGTTCCTGGGAGCCAAGGCCGGGAGTTTCAGGGAGACCTTGGTGTGGGATCCTCAGGGTAACAACTTAATGGATCCCAGCCTTGTTAGCAGGGCAGGGGCACAGGGGTGGGGTTCTACCAGCCAAATATAAGGCAGGGGTTCTGTTACCCACAGAGGTGGCAAAAGAATAGGTTCAAGCTAGAGTGAGCGCCTGGGCCAGGTGAGAGGTGGCTGCAGAAGGCCCTGCCAGTTGGCCAGAGGAGCAGGTGGACAGGTGGATGCTGAGCACTTGTGCTGGTCAAGAGCAGTGGGTGCTTGTGGACCCGGAAGTGTCTCCAGCCAGGGCAGCAGGGCGGGCTCAAGATAAACACTCAGGTATTTATTGCTACAGTCTGCTCCCTGAGGCCACTCATCGTCCCTGCCTTTCACCAACAGGAAGGCGTAGGGAGTCAGGTAAAAAACGGAAAAGAAAAAGGTTAAAACCCACCTAGAGCTGCCAACCAGGTAGGCCCTGCCACCCCACCATGCTGAGGGTGCTGGGACCACACAGGCTGGGGAGCAATCGTTGATCACACCGGCAAATGATCAGCTTCCGCCCAGCGGTGCAGCCGTGGCCCTGATTGGTCTCGGGTCTGCCTGCTTTGGGTCTGCTGGGCTGTGGGTCTGCGCCGCTCCCTGTCCCCTCCTGCGCACTTGAGCTGTGGTCCATGCTCACTATGCTCTGATCCCCTCTTGCCACTCTGTCCTTTGTTGATTGGGCCTCCAGGCGTCCCATGTAAATGTGGGAGGGGCTGGGTCTGATTTACCAGCCTGGTCAGGGGGCAAGCCACCCACCTCTCTGACAGACAAGGAAACTGGGCCTCAGCAGAGTGCAGGGGAGGACTGGAGTGTTGATTGGGGCTAATGGCTCATGTATACCAGCTGAGGGAGAAGTTCTGTCTGAAGATGGGGAGGCTGGAGCAGGTGCTACAGTCCAAGCTATCTCTGAGGTTCCTCCTCTTCTCTCTAGCATCCATTCTCAGGATGGCCCCATGGCCCAAGGTGGTTGCCACAGCCCTAGAAGTCACTGTTCTAGGCTGGAAGAAACAGTAAAGTGGGAGGAAAGATGGCCTGTCCCCAAGTCCCACCAGGTGGCTTTTGTTTTCTCATCTGCTGACCTGGGAAATGTAGGAAATGTTGTTTCCCAGTAGAAAAGTAGCTGGAGAGATGCAGTCACAGCGGAGCCTTCAAATCATCAGCCTATCTGGCCTCTCCTCTGCCACGTGGGACTGCATGGCATCCAAGACAAATAGTTGTTCTAGACTCGAGGGGATTCCTTCGGAGGTTTCTGAGCCTGGCTCCTAAGGCTGTGTTGTGGGAGAGGTGCTTAGGTCCCAGGAAGGCCCTCTTGAGAGGAGGGTGTCCCATAGGTACCCTTGGCTGTGGTACGGGAGTGAGGGCCTAGTGCATCTGAAGGGCCAGCTGACACGTGTCCCTTGCCCCTGGCTGGCACACAGAATTGAATAGGCAGGGGAAGAGCTGTTGAAGAGGCAGGGCAGGGCAGGGTGAGGCTGTGCCTTCCAGCACTTCCCCATGCATAGTCCTGGGCTTGTCCTTGGCATCACCAAAAACAAAAATGAAAACAGGTCAGCTTAGTCTGCCTGGTCACAGTGTCTGTGGCTGGTGGCATCTGTCCTGAGCTGTTTTATGGACCAAAATAGCTGCCAGAGCTCCACAAAACACAGGCTAGAAAAAAATGAAGGCAGGGAAAAGGACTAAAGAACCTTTTTGGGACTCAGTTTCCTTACCTGTACAGTAGGAGCAGGGGGCTTGCTTTCAAGGCATATGGGCTGTGATCTGGTCCTCGTTCTTTCTGAATAACATGGCAAGTTTGATTTTTTTTTTTTTTTTTTTTTAATTTCATGTAACTTGAAATCCAGAGTCTTGCATAGCATGTGCCCCGATCAAGTCACCATGTTGTCAGCTTTTCCTGTCAGTGTTGCGTTGTGTGCCTGGGGTCCTGGCTCTCAGCCTGTGTGTCTCCCTCTCCCTGCAGATGTGAGGTGAGGATAACCCAGCAGCCCTCTCCTGGGACATGGATGTACATGGCGTGTTACATTCCTGAACCTACTATGTACGGTGCTTTATTGCCAGCGTGTGGTCTTTGTTCTCCTCCGTGAAAACTGTGTCCAAGAGCACCCTGGAGAACAAAGCGACAGTGTGCATTTGTTCAGTGTGACATCAAAGCACGTATTGTAGCACTCCGAGAGACAGCAGAAGCCTCCTTGTCAGTGAGAGAGAAAACAAACCACAAAACATGACAAAAACAAACTGGACTCACAAAGAATATCTACGTGGTGGACGGAAGGGCTGCCCCGCGGGGTGGACATGTGGTGGCTCGCGGGATGGATTTCTGTCGGTGGCCACAGGTGCTCTTTGCCAAGGATGCGGAGTAGTGGATGCTCGCAGGGCACCAGGCTCTGCGGGGCACGTGGGACACGGGGTGACGGGAGCAGCCGCGCCAACTTGGAAACCACAACTCCTTGCTGTCACGCTTGGTCTATCCAGGGCCTTCCCCAGAGCCTTAAGTGGGTGTTCTGTTTTATTTTCTTTGTTGTTTATTTTATTTTATTTTTTACACCATAAAGTGATTAAGTTTTCCTTTTTACTCTTTGCCTAGCTTTTTTTTTTTTTTTTTTTTAATTATCTCTCGGATGACATTTACACCGATAACACACAGGCTGCTGTAACTGTCAGGACCGTGCCACGTGTGTGTTTCCTAGCAGGATGCAACTAATGAGATGTATTAAAATAAACATGGTATACCTACCTATGCATCATTTCCTAAATGTTTCTGCTTTTATGTGTTCTCCTTTACCCACTTATTTTTCAAATTAAATGAGACCATATCCCCCCGCGGTGCTGCCCGCTGTTCCCCTTCCCCGCCCCCAAGGGTGGCTGTATGGCTCTTGTGCCCCATGGAGTGTCTGGACAGAACCTAAATTCTTTATTTTTGGTAAGATGTTGTGCTTTATTTGTATTAACAGAAATGTGCATGTGTGGTTTCTTTGTGGTGTTTTTGGTTTTGTTTTGTTTTTGGTAAAGGTGAAGTTTGTGTTTTTATTGTTACCAGTTTTATATACCTTAAGAGCCTGACTACTATTATTATTATTACTATTATTACTATTATTATTTTTTGAACCAGAAAGAAAAAAAAACATGCACGTGAAACACATTTTGTGGTCACGTTTTTCTCGCTGCTTACTGGAGTCTAACCCGTCCCCTGGTCATGCAGGCAATTGAATGAAGATAGGGGATTAGAGCTCTTGGGCTGGTGGCCCTGACCTGCCCACACTGAGCATCTGGAGTTCATTGTCCCTGGGCACCAGAACTCAGCGGAGAGCCCATTCAGAGGGACTGGAGGCTGTCCTACACCAGAGGAGCTGAGGGACAATGGATATCATCAAGCTGTGAGCAGCCCTACTGTGACTCTGGACTCCATGGCCAGCCACGTCCCTCTCTTGCTCCTTGGGTAACTCTGGTGTGGTGGCTGCATCTGTCGTGCATGAGTTTGTGGGCATGTTGTACGGAGCATCTTCAGTGGCTCACTCTGCAGCTTTTGGGCTCTGGCTGGATGCTTCCCAAGTGATTGAAGTGGCCTGAAGGCCGGACTGGCCCTGTACTCTGGCTCCTTGACAGTAGATGGACAGATCCCATTGTGCCTGGCTCCTGAGAGTTCCTGCTGGGCCCTGTGATGTACTGCATTGCTTCCAGCCACCATCCATGCCTGATGATGTGCTAGATGTATACATATTCCGTAGTCTGCTTGAGAGGCTGTCACACTGTGGTTTTCCTTGTTTTGCAAACTGCCCAGTAAGGTGCTGGGTCCTTTACAAAGTCTGTGCGGAATCCCACTGGAAGAGCCGGAGCTGGCACTGCTGAAGATTTCAGAGCCCTGGAGATAGGCCTACGAGTGAGGGCCATTCTGCTTATGCTGGACTCTTCTCCCAGGTCAGGGTGGAGGTAGCCACAGAGAGGCCAGGTCTGGCTGGATTGGGCTGAGCTGCCTTCACTGCCCCAGGCCTTGGTTGGGTCTGCCCTGCATTCCTGGCATTCCGGCTCCTGCATTGGCCCCCTGGGTGTGACCTGTGAGACAGCTCTGCTCACTTTGGCTCTTTCATCTTGTGTGTCCTGGGACCTCAGGCCAGGGGCCTGTCCAGCCACACCTCCATCTACACATCTGCAAGGTGAGGCCATCCCCCAGCACTTTGTGAGGACCACATGATGCCCTTGGGCCTCCTGGTATAGGTGTCTGTAACTGCTCCACGACCTTGAACACAAGCTAGGACAGCCTCCTGAAGAGCCACAAGCTCTGGCTGCACGGTGTGTGGGCAGCAGTGGAGCTGTCTGAGTTAACAGGGTTCCTACACCTGCCTAAAGCTGAGCTCTCCTGGCCACACCATTTTTGGGTCATGTCCCTGCATCGTCTCCAGCCAGATCTGGGTGTCCTGATCAGTGCAATGGGTTGGACCAGGCCTGTCCCAGTCTGCATGCTGCCTAGGTCCGCGTGGTGGGTGCAGCCGACATCAGTGTGGCTGAGCCTGCGCCTGGATCCTGCCTTCAGAGCAGACACTCAGCCTCGGCAACCTGGAGCCCTCACTGGATCAGAGGCACCGCCAGCTTGTACTTTCTTGTCTGCAGGAAATACAAGGCTCAAATATGGCCCCCGGAGTCCTGAGTCTGCTCCTGGTTGGCCTTGGGCTTCTCAGGCTTCTAGGGATGGGAAATTGACCTACTGGAGGTTAACTCTGTCTTAATGGAATTGTGCCCTCAAAGTGCCCTGGGAGTCCCTAAGTAGATAGTCTCAAGGACACAGTTCTGAGGGTGTAGCATAGGGAATTGTGCAGAGGCTGGGTGTGTCTAGAGCCCCTCTAGGGCCTCAGTCTCTTGTCCCAGGTCTGATAGAGGAGAGAGATACCTGGTATAATAGTGAGGCTTTGACAGCCCTGGCACCCATCAGGCTGTCCCTGTGGGGTCTTGGGTAGGTACTGGTGGCCCAGGACTGAGATACTCAGTGTTTACTTAGAATCACAAGGGCTGCTTTCAGAGACTGGGCTCTGGTTCTGCCCACGCAATGGATCAAGAGTTACCCCAAGGAGAGTCGGATTTAGGCTCGAGCCTCATAGCAGACAGACCCTGACAGCAGGCCAGCATGCAGCTGTGGGGTCAGATGTACAGCATTGTGTATGTGTGTGTTGGGGGAGGTTCTTCCTTTTTGGGTAAGGAGATCACGAGGGGGCGTGGGCCTGGGCAGCTCCTGGGGCAGCCGCAGCCACCACAGAATGATGCCTAAACTGGGGGCTCTGGGCACAGCCACCTAAAAGCCCATCAATGTTTTGGGCCAGCTGTCCCTGGCTACAGGCAGGTCTGAAATGTGCCCAGCCCCAGGGCTGGGATAGGAACATAGCCCCTAGTTCTGGGAAGGGTGATGAAATAAGGCTGCTTGACTCCAGAGCCCAGCATCAGGGTACTGTGCCCTTGTCAGACCTAGCTATGGATCAGAGGTTGACTCTGACATGAAGTTTAAAATAGGTTGTTTTGTTCTTAAAGAGTGTTAATTTGATTAAAAATGGAGTGGAGCTGTCAGGAGCCACTGCCCCATGGCAGATTTGGCTGTGTGGCTCCCCATGCTGTGGGCCCCTCTGTGGCTGTCTGGCATCCTCCAGACTGTATGGGATGTTGTCCCATACACACGAAGGCCATGGAATAGGTGCCTAAGCAGCTAAGTGCCTTAATGCATGGGGCCTCAGTTTCCCATCTGTAAACAGGAGAGGGTGGCTTAGAGAGTTTGTGGGACTCAGGCCCTCAGGGGTGGTAGATACCCATGGTCCTTGCCCAGCTCCTTTCCCCTGGCAGTTTGACCTGGCTCTCTCCCACCTCTCCATGCCTACTTCAGACACTAGCCTAACACCCCCACCTGCTCATATTCATTGGATGTCAGTTGGGGTGAAAAACTAGTCACTTGCAGAAGGGACTTGGATCCCACCAGCTTGCTGCCCAAGGTGGGGGACAAGGTCCCCCTCAAAGATGGAGCTCCATCAATGTGCTCTATGTGTTTTACAGAGCCTGCGGGTATAGAAAGCTCATTGGAGGTAGATCCCACTAACAAGCCAGACTCTGGGGAAACTGAGTCCTGCAAGGTTCCTTGCTGTGGGCCCCAAGGTGCCTCCAGGTACCTTTCAGACTGCCCAGAGAGCACACAGGCTGTATTTGTATATCCCCTGGCCTCAGGCATGTGCACTCCAATGCCACGAAGCCTTTCTGGGCCAGCAGGACCTGGAAGCTGGTGGTATTCTGCTGCTGCTGGCCTCGGCCATCATGAGGCTAAGAAGTTGTGCAGTGGGAGGGGGGTGGGGCCCAGGAGCTCTACAGAGGGGTTCCCAGGCTTGGCCCACTGAATGTTTATATCAAGGCCCTGGCTGTGCACATGGCTGGGTGTAGCCATCTGCACCAGCCTTGCCCTTCCTCACACCTGTTTCTTAGCTGCTCTGGCTCCCCTGTTCCTCCCTGCCTGCCTCGTGGTACCCAGCCATGGGCCTGTTGGTAGGGCAGGCAGGAGCTGCAGTCCAGAGTGGACAAGGTGCAGTGGGCAGGGCTGGCTGGGGATATGCCCTGGGCCCACTGGCCAGACTCATAAGACCTGTTTGCCACCACCAAGATCAGCTCTCTGTGAGCTCCACCCTGACTCTTGGTCTCTTGAACACCACACCAGGATGCTGCTCAGGACTAGCAGGATCTTGAGTGGCCTAGCCTGGAGCATGAGCCAGCAGTGCCCAGTTCTCAGATCCATCTGACTGAGAACAGTCCTGGGAAACACAAACCTCTGCTGCTGAGCATGGACAGATCATTGGCCTTGGCTGACCTCTCACTGTACCTTGGATGGGCACTGTCCTCATCAGTGGCGTACATGAAAGGCTTGTCTCAGAGTGGATGCTGGGAGGCGTCATGGGGCTCCATGACCATGAGGGAGGATGGTGAGGTGGGCCTGAGGCCAGCCAGCTGGCGCACTGCGCCTTGTACACCTATGGGCAATGGGAAAGGAAGCACTAGAGCTAGAGCCTCCTTCCCACAGCAGGGATACAAAGACTGCCCTGGCCTGGAAGCCTCTGGACACAGAATTCCAGAAGCTGTCTTGCTTGGCCTCTGAATCACAGACACCCTAGGCCTTTGTGCTCCACTGGCTTTGAGGCCTTTGGAGCTGAACTGGGCACTGAACTTTTTCCTGGGTCCTCAAACATCACCAGAAGC